TGGTCATAATGTATAGCTGGTGTTGCCAGTGGAGCAACTAGAGCAGCGTTAACACAACATTTTGCACTTGCAAATAATGCTGCTGATATATCTGCAAAGGTACCTTTGAACAATCTCAACATTTTGTAGATACCAATCAGATGGTAAATTATCGCTAAAATGTAGCTAAAGGAACATACCCAACTTTTCAGGAGGGCAGCCAAGAGACACTTGCAACAATGTCAGGAATGGGACTGGGAATGCTGTTGGCACATGTTACCAGGGGGCATGATTTGGTTGTATGGGTTTCGTTCCTTTCTCTCACAGTATTCCATATGTACGGTAAGTGTGTTATTAACTTGTTAGACATTGTCGATTACATCATTTCTGGAAGCGGACATTATAATCGAACATCTGTATAATCATGGCTGTGGTTGCCTTACTGTTCCTGTCAAAAGCAATTATGGTCTACGGCGTGAGAGGAAGAAAAGCAGAGCTTCTGCTTAGCCTCTCCCATTAAGCATATCCATGTGCTGCTGCAAATTGTGTTGATATTTTTTAGGAGAAAACACTGCAGAAGCTGTTACACATTAGAAATTGTATTATTTTTTGTTGCTGTCCAATATATGGTGAGCTGCACGAATTCCAGATTTCATTTGGTCCTGTCAATTTGAAATAGCAAGATATCCAAACAAGGCAGTAACTTGAATTTAGCTACCTAATTTCGAATTTGAATTAATATCCCCAATCCCAGTCTCCTGTTGGGTTTTGGTACCACCAGGATTTATTGTCATGAGAAATATCCAGTAACAAAATGTTGATGCCATAGTATAATAATACTTTACCCACTTTCTAGTTAGACTCGTTTGAACTGAGATAATATATTCAATTAGCAGAACTGAGATTTGAACACACTTCTCGTTTATAAACTTCTGCTTGTTCTATGTGTGTCAATTCAGCAAATTACAAGGCAGTGCAGTCACTTTCACTCAGTACACTAAATTATGAGAGAACGTCCATCTTGCTGCAGTATTTTATGGAACATGGTGAAGGTGCGTGTATTGCTTTTCCTTTTCCTGGTTTCGTGAAATCCATTCTGTTGTGAGTTGTGGTTAGTGTAACCATGCAGGATCAGTTAGCATCTAAGAAAATTAGCAGGCCATTACTAGCTGCATAGCCACACCTAAAAAATATATTGCATGTTGTGACTCTTAGTTAATTATATTGCCAAATATGGTGTGTGGTCCAAGTTCGAGGCCAAGCATTTTTTTAAGGGACACTTCTTTATTTTGCCATGTCTCAAATGCGCAATTAAGGTAGATCTGTCCATGGAATTCTAATTATTGCCTCAAGAATAACTTTAACTGGTTCGTTTATATGAGCCTGCAAAATTTTGATGCAAGAAGTTACATTATTTAATCATCAAACTTTTTTGTGTGGAATTTTCCTAGTTCTTACACCACAGCAGGTTGCCAAGCAAGAGCATATTCTTCCGTTTTGGTCAAGCTGGCGGAAATTACTTAGGGTTAAACTTCCACATGAGCTTGTACACTTAGGTGCTAAAGCCTCGATGCTTACTCACTCTGACATGTAAGTTCTAACTTCTGAACTATGCTTTTATGTGTGTGACATTGCCTATTGATTAAAGAATGGATTATATTGGTTTGTCAAATATAACAGGTTGCTGATTGCAAAAACAAGATCCTACTATTCAAATGGTACGACTCTTTTGTTGGTTATTCTGACAGTATATTGATTGCTGCTGACTTCCTTTACCTCCCGCGTTTGTTCAGCCAACTATTTTTTGCTGGACAAGGAAGGCAGTGTTCATATCTTCATCCACAAGCAGGCAGTGGCAACTGATGTCTTGAAGTCCTTCATACATGGACTCGTCTTAGCACGCTTGATGCAGAAGAGCAAATCTTGTCATACGGAAGCTCACCAATGGATGGATGAGAAATACCACACCTTCATCTCAAAGGTAAAACGCTGTCCCATTTGCTAAGTTGTCCATCTTGTGAACTTGTTGTAGTGTTGGTATTTAGTACTCCCTCTGTAAAGAAATATAAGAGCGTTTAGGAAGGGAGTACTTCACTGGGTTGGAGCTTAGCCTCTCAGTGTCCCTTTAGGCCCTGTTCGTTTAATCCCCTCGCCACAGGGATTGGAGGGGATTGGGGAGGTTTGAGGAGGATTTTGACTTGCAAGGGATTTAATCCCCTCCAATCCCTTTCAAACCTCTCCAAACCCTACCCAACCGAATGAGGCCTTATTCGGTTAAAACCTCGAAACAGACACTCCAGATCAAAGAATCTGTATTGAAAATCGTGCATACAGTATTGATGGTAGGCTTGTGGAGCTGTACTATACCCTCTCTGCTCTAAGTAAGCACCAAATGGCGTTTGTCCTTTTTACACGGGGAAACAAATTGGTCTCCATGGAGTCCATATATATAGAATCTGAGAATTGCCCTGATGGCATCCCATAATGCTGTTTTCACCATATAACGTATTAAAATTTGGCTATTCAAACACCCACAGCACGGCCATGAGCAGGTTCATAGGATGGGGCTCTAAATGGCAAAATTTAGTGCCCTGAAAGTTATGTTCGTGGTAGTCCAGTGAATATTCTTTGCAGTTAGTTTTGTGTATCTGTTTTATTCTACTGTGATGCGTGATGATGGTTCATTTACCCCCGAAATTTTACAGCTGAAAGTGGAAGGCTACTCAACGGAACGACTTCTGTCGCATTCGATTGTATGGAAGGCTCATTGGGTTTATGGTCCCTTGGATGAGAAGACCAAGTAGGAGGAAAGAGCTGGAGATGGCCATATCCACTTGACTAAGTAGTTGGTTATGCTAGTGGTAAATTTTGTGAGAAGGTGCATGCGAACTGCTGTGTAAACGGAGATCACCAAATCATATCAAAGTTGAAACGGACATACAGATAACCTGTGTCATCAGAGCATCTACATATCCGCCCTAAGCGTCCATGCGGTCTGTTCGATCTACCCAAACCGGACCTGGTAAACTTGGCCCAAACGTCCAAGTTGACTGGCACCTTACATACCCAGCACATATGTGAGGTGGATATGGGGACGCCCGGATGCGCCTGTCACGTCGGACTGACGGTAGGGTCCACGCCAAATCTCCTGAAGACGTCCCCGTTCTGGCCCGATTTGCCCTCTTCCTCTCCTCTTTTCTGCCTCATCTGCACAGCTGCCACCATAGCTCCACTGCCATTGTTCCCAACCCACAACATCGCTAACTGTGCCGCCAACGGACAAGTTCGCCGCCACGTGACGCCTCCCCGGTACATGCAACTCCTTCGTACATACACCTCGTGCTCTGTGTTTGATGAAAGGTCCGAGCGTTTTTTTGTTCTTTTGGTCATTTGTAGGTCATCAATGAATTCGTCGTCGAATGATGTGTATGGAAACACAAACCTTGGCGAATTCATATACAGAGAGTTCATCGATTCGTCGGATTCGAACGATGAGGATGCTGAAATGATGATGATGAGCATCCGGGAAGAATTGGAGAAGCAAAAGGAGCATGTACTGAATCTCAAAGGTTCGATAAATGGCAGGAGAGTTGCTCCTTGGGATAGGATCGATGACGCAAGGCTTCTCTACAATGACTACATCAAACCGAGCCCAACATACTATGAAGATTTTTTCCGAGTCGCTAGTGAATGCCATGGAGGAGGCTGATAACAACTTCAAGCTGAGGAAGGATTGTTGCGGGAAACTTTCTTTCTCTCATATGTAGAAATGCACGACTGCTCTCAGGATCTTTATCCAGATGGGAGAGATCACATGCTTGAACACCACGGTGCAATTTGCACACACCATGGTGAATGTGTTTGGACCAGAGTATCCGAGAGAACCAACTATGGAGGACACAATAAAATTTGTTGGCAATTGGAGCATAAAGAGGATTCTTAGGTATACTCGGTTCAGTTGATTGCATCCATTGACAATAAAAGAACTACCCCAAAGATTTGCATGGATAGTATCAAGGTCACACCAAAGCGACAACCGTCATACTTAAAGCAGTGGCATCAAAGGACTTGATTTGGCATGCTTTCTTTTGCACGCTTGGTTCTAGCGATGACATCAATGTGCTCCAACGATCTCCTTTGTCCAAGAGACTTTATGATGGAGAGGCTTCGGCATGCAACTACACTGTCAACGGTCAGAACTACAACATGGGGTACTACTTTGTGGATGGTATCTATTCTCAATGGGCGTTGTTTGTGAAGACTATATACGATCCTCATGGTAAAAAACAATCTCTCTTTGCACAAGCGTAAAAGGATGCTAGAAAGGATGTGGAGAGGGCATTCGAAGTGCTCCAAGTTTGTTTGAGTATTGTTCGTGGAGCTACAATGATGTGGGAATCAGAGACAGTTTGACTATTCATGACATGTTTTGTAATCTTGCATAATATGATTGTGGAGGATGAGGGCGAAGGGCAACCCCCATGATTTGAGAAGTTCAAGTCCGCCTCCTATGGAGCATGTTGCCAACTTTCTTGAGACACATCGACAACTTAAAGATCCACAAGCCCACATGCAACTTCTCAATGATCATATGGAGCATGTGTGGATCCACGTTGGAATCAATGAACTATTTATTTTATGTTTGAATTATGCACTGTGATCAAATTTTATATAATGTACAAATAATTTTTATTTGTGTGTGCAATTCATTGTTTGTGTGATGATAAACGTGCATAGATTTGAGGCTTCAAAAGTAAGGGTTGTAGGTCATCCGCTGCTAACTAACCATGTTGTCACTTGTTGTTACTCAAAAGGTCAAGAAAAGTAATATTTGTTCTGACATGACAGTAGGCCCAGCTAGTACATACATAAAATTATATCTGTCTGACTACATACACATATGACATGATAATCACCGTCTGTTTTCATAGCCGATTAGTTAGAGGTAGCAGTTGAGACGACACGCCACGCACACAAGACAGAGCACTTGCGTCAGGTCGGGAGACGAAGGACGACCTCGGCTATGTTGGTGGAGTTTTGGGCTGCGCTTGGTTGGAGTTAAGGGCAGGACATCCGTTCAGTGCGATGCGGCCGTTGACCTTGAGCCTTTTGGTGGCCTCAACAGCAGCATCGGATTTGGATGCTTCCTGCTGCCCTCTCTTCCTGCAATGCCGATGCTGCTGCTTTTGTTCCTCAAACTTGCTCGCAGTCGCAGGCCTGAAAACTTCGGAGCAGTTTCGAGGTGCGGCTGAGGTAGTAGCGTTGTTCCTCCAAGACGAAGAGGCACAAGAACCCAGGATATCTGAGAGCCTCTTGGTCTTGGGAAACTCTCGCTCCTCCGAGCTGTCATCCGACTCCACTTCCACGTTCACCTGCTGCACACGCATCAGTTCATTTGATTCATCCCCCCAATGGAAAATAATAAAACATATCGTGCAGATAGCTTAGGATTCTTTGGTAAACTATGCATTTCTTATTTCAATACATATTTCTGCTGATAAGCTAAGTAGTCACAGAAAAAAAATGTAAATAGGAAAATCAGAGGCATATTGATGTTGCTACTCAAAAGAGTTCTGTAGTAACCATTTAAGTTAAATAGTAAAGGCAAAAACAGTCCCTTGCCTTTTATTTCTTAAACGAGGGTCCGAAACTTCATTGTAACACAACAAAAGGCAAAAGATAAGGGTTCAATTCGGGGAGCAGACCAACAACTAGCAAGAAAGAAAACTAGTATGTCTAAAACCTCAGGGGGTACAAGAGTTTCTTCTTATCGGAAGTACGAGCATACATGGAGTTGAAATAATTAATGCACAAGCAGAGCATGCATGGAGACCCAGAGATCCAAAACAATAAATAACCAGACTCCTAACCAGCCACGGAACAGAGAAATAAAGACCACGGAACAGAGAAATAAAGACAGGGATAATGTTGCACCTTATCATGCTTGATATCCTTTTCATTTGCTTTTCCAATTGGTGGTGTTTTCTCCGTAGCCTTAAAGAATGCTGGTAACCCAGGCTCTTTTTTCACCTCAGCCAATTTAGCAAATCCAGGAGGCCTTGTAATGTTGAGAGAGAACTTGATTGGGGACTTTTTCTCAGAGAAAAGAGTGGAAGCACCATTTTCTGATCCAGGAGAAGGCATGCTGCTGTCATTGGTGTGTAACCCACCATGTGCTTTTGTAAATCCAGGAGGAGCATCAAGTCTCAGTCCTGGAGTGTCGAAAGCAAGGCTGGGAGAAGAGTCGATATGTGATTCTGCAGTTTTTCCTCTACGAAGCCCACAATGAGCTCTTGTGAAGCCAGGAGGGACATCAAGAGGAAATCCTGGAGGTGGGTCCAAAACAAGGTCTCCGCAAGCAGGAGCTCTCCTAGCAGATTTGCATAGAGAATCTGTAGTCCCTGGAAAATACAACGAAAAAACATGAATCAGCAAAAGCAAGTACAGGGGCTGCATCGCTGAAATAGCAAGATCTACCACCCAAACAACACAAAAAGGTTGTTACCTGCGGAGTCAGGACTACAAGACCCAGTGAAGAAAGAAACAGCGGGAGCTGCATTACTGAGCACAGCATTTGCATCAACCTCCTTGGGTTTGCTCGTTTCCACCTTTTTGACCTCTGTTGCATCCAGTTTCATGCCAATCTCACGATTTTTACCTTTTGTGTATTTGCCTCCTATCATATCCAGGTCCATGCCAATATCCTCAGATATATGACAGTCTCCCTTTGAAAGGCCAGCATTGCTGATATCTGTATGACTGTCGACTCGGTGCTGCCTCTTTCTGGTATGCTTCTGGAAAACTCCAAAAAGGTAAAGTTCTCCGTCTTTCGCTGTTACAACAGATTCTACGGAAGTTAGATGATGCTAAATGAATATGACCCTGCATACTAGTTTTTCAAACATTCCAGAAATCATTTAGCAGGTATTGCCTAACTTAACAAAACATCCAGATTGTGGAAACAAAATAGAAGAGAACAGTTTCAAGCATAACATGTCCAATGGAAAACTTCACAAGATATGAATATCAGCTGCATGTCGTGCAATCGGTAAACTCTACCATAGCTATTGCGTATCAGTGGCCTTCATAAGAGTCAAGTGGACATACTTTGATCATCTTCCGTAAGCAGCTTGGACGAAAATATAAGCAAGTCCACGGTGCCGATGTCAGTCCGCAAGCCAATATGTGAAGAAACATTTTCCAGGAGATGGTAAGAGTCCCTATTTGGCCTGTATAAATAGGCAAAATTTAAGCTTATAAGGCAAGCTCATATGCGCGGGCGCGCACGCACACACACACAGAGACTGTATACAATGCAAGATCTTTTTATATGGAACCTGGCATGGCTGCAAGTAAGTCTACCATTGCTAATCCTTCTTTAATGTAAGTGGAAGCTAAGATGATGAGTGTACCTTTGACAAGAACTTATGAAGCACAGTCCAATATCTTGAGCACAAGGTGGTTCCATCTTGAATTTTTTTGGTAACAGGCCAGAAAGAGGTAGAGCCTCTAGCTTCAAGATTTCAGGCATCTGTTTTGAAGCTTCATAAACTTTGCTAGAAATTTCACAAGGGAAATAGGCTTCAAGTCCATCACAAGTGTGTGTTAGCTCTCCAGTTATTTCAAATTTGCCCCTAAAGAAAAGCAAATAATGATCCTGAGTGTTCGGCTGAAATAGAATAGACCACAGGGTCCTCTAGTAGGATTCACATCTTTGGAATCGCAGAAGACCTCAGTAAGCATAAACCGTCATCACTTGCCACATGAACATTCTTATCTTATATTCCCTCCGTTCACAAATACAAGATGTTTTAACTTTTTTTTTTGAATCGGATGTATATAGACACGTTTTAGTGTGTGTGTTCACTCATTTCAGTCCGTATGTAGCCCATATTGAAATATCCAAAACATCTTATAGTATTTGTCAACAGACTAAGTATAATATAGCTTATGGCATAAGTAATTGCTGCCTATACAGCTAATTAACCGCAACCCCTAGCAGCCAATATTCAAAGCTTATAGCAGGTAGTATAAATGGAGTTTCAAACCCCACACATGGGCTGTGTTTTCTCCTTTTCATGCTTCTACTTGGGAAGGTAACCTTCTAGTATTGAGTTTGCGCTTGCACAATGAGCCTACAACAATCTTCTATTCTACTATGTCCGTAAAATTTCCAAATCATTACACTCATGCAGTAAACAAATTGCACTGACCCTTCAAATTAGAAGATTCTAATGCGTAAAAGCAAAGTACTTACTTCCAGCAGGCCTCTGGTTGGTATGTCTCCTTGCACAGTGGTGTATGTAGAATTAATTGGGCACCTGTATCCATATCAAAACGTCATAACAACGAATTTACTCAGAAGAAATATTATAAGATTGCACATAAGGAATAATATGATATTTTCTGTTATATCATTCTATCCTTGCAAATAGGTGCACTGAACTGTAAAACACCGCAACAGAAATATGGGAAACATATGTACAATTTTAAAAAGGCTAAAAGTTGGGTTTTCCTATTTAATTCTTCTCTTTTCCTGTATCTAATGTTAGGGCAAAAAGCAAGCAATACTCTTGAGCCCTTTCATGAGGACTGAAGGAATATTCAACATGGTAAACAAAATAAGTTCGAAAACAAAAGGTCCAATTATTGGAACTAAGTGAAGCAAATATCATGCATGACATTTGTCTTATATACGTAGACTAAGAAAAATGCAGCTAAATCATGCATCAGTATTTCTTTTGGGTGGAATATGTTACTTTCAGGATAATAACCATACCTGAAGACATGTTACGACTAATTGATGGTTCCTGGTTCGTTTGTCTCTCGACATGGCTCTTAGTGGAGGAAACAACTCTCAAATCATCGGAAAGTTGAGCACATGGGGTTGGAATTGTAGACTCTGGGCTTTTTGCTTGAGGTATGTTTGTTTCAGGCTGCAGCGAGTCCAGCTTGGATTTTCCATCAAACAAATTTAGTCTGGACGAAGACCTTCCAGTATCTAGACATACCTCGGTGGAACTTGAACTAAGCACAGATGTTGGGCTCAGTAATGGAAGCTTCACAGTAGTTTCTTTTTCCACAATAGGATCTGCGTCTCTTTTTGTGGGCTGACATTTAAGTGCAGCCTGATTGCTTATAGAGCATAACTTTTTGTTGTCAAGTGTGATGACACTCTTAGGAGGTGGTTCTGCCTTTGTAGTAAGAGGAACCTTCCTTGAATATGCAGGAGGAACATGCACAGAACTAGGGTTGATGGGATTCATCTCTGACTCTTTCCGCAAAACAGATGGAGGAAATGCACCTCTCTGGACAGACTTGTAGAGTGGTGATGGCCGATTGAGAGAGAAAAATTGCCTGTTTTCAACTGTCTCAACTCTCTTAGGAGAAAGACACGATGCAACAGGCAGGGGTGGTGTAGTGGGCTTGGGACTAAGAGGTCCCGAGGCCTTGTGAGCTGTCTCAACTCTCTTAGGAGAAAGACACGATGCAACAGGCAGGGGTGGTGTAGTGGGCTTGGGACTAAGAGGTCTCGAGGCCTTGTGAGCTTTCTCAACTCTCTTAGGAGAAAGACACGATGCAACAGGCAGGGGTGGTGTTGTGGGCTTGGGACTAAGAGGTCCCAAGGCCCTGTGAGCTGTCTCAACTCTCTTAGGAGAAAGACACGATGCAACAGGCAGGGGTGGTGTAGTGGGCTTGGGACTAAGAGGTCTCAAGGCCTTGTGAGCTGTCTCAACTCTCTTAGGAGAAAGACACGAGGCAACAGGATGGGGTGGTGTCATGGGCTTGTGAGTAAGAGGTGTCGCGGCCTTGTGGGTAAGAGGCGCCGAAGCCTTGTGATTAAGCGGTGGCATGGCCTTGGGAGTAAACGGTGTCGTAGACTTGTGAGTAAGTGGTGTTGATCTCGCAAGAGAAATTTTACGCGAACTCGGAGGAGGAGTGACACTTCGTCTGCAGTGTCTTTTCTGCAGTTTTGCTGAGCCAACTGTTCTACCAAAAGGCTTTCCATGCCGTACATAAGTGATGTCTTCTGCCGGAATCAACTTCACTCTTGCATCAGGTTTTGTATATGTACCACCAGACGGCTTATGCATGCTGTAAAATAGAGAGGAAGTTACTATACATTTTAAAATAAATAGATTCAGAAATAACATACTGGAATCTGGATTTTGCAAGACATGAATGATATTTAAGTGCAATCCAGGCAACAGCAATGACTTACTGGTATGCCAAGAACCTAAACAATAAAAGATGTAGCTTCCCAAAAAAAAAGTGATATATCATGCTTTAAATAATGTCACTTCACTAACAAGCTTTACAAAATGAGGAAGGCAGTATACCATGCCTCAATGCTCACTACACTTATGCATAACCAAATTATAGAGTGGAATTACACCGTGAGGCATAAAGCAACATACCGAGAAGCAATATAAATATATTTCTTCTTACATTTTCCCTTTTATTTTATTGCGAGGACGCATGTTTGGTTGGTGTACAAAACTAACCTAACCATTTTTTTGCTCATAGCCAAAAATTTGGTCCTTGTTTGGATGAGTTGCCCGAAATTGGTTGGTACGCCCATATGCAAACTTGCTAACTCTAGTTCATTTTTCTTGCCAACATTAGCTAGATCATTGGCAAGCAAAACATTCACTAAAATTTTGCCTAGCATTTTTTAGGATGGTGAATTTGGGCTCAGAATCATTCTAATGGTGTAGGACTGAATACGCACTTCTGGATAACAGAGTATTTGTCAGCTTACTACATATAAGATCATCAAATATCATGTTACTGGATCATGCACATTCATATAGAACTCAACCTGAGTTCCCCTGTGCAGTTTCTTTAAATGGTCTAGGGAAACCAGATAGCCATGTTTAATCATGCAAACTCAGTCTCACGTGATACATACATTAGATAAAAGAACTGATTAGATTCAACTGGGTATTAATAAGGTGTGAGCCTTAAAATATAAAAGGTTATTACGAGATTTATCCAAGGTGGGGCCCTTAAATTCCTCCAAATGTGATCCATTGATCAGTCATCAGCCCAACATAAAATGGTCAATGTGCGTAGTTCACATTACACCTAGCCAGTGGTTTGCAACTTTGCACTGATATGCTCACTCTAGATAACACTTGTCACAAACTCCTGCTATTTAGCCTCGAAAATAAAAACAAGGCGTTTAATCGAACAGTGAAATCAAAGCAGGATGACAAATGTAGAAACAATGACATGATTCCATCATATATAATGCTGTATGTAGGCAGACATAAGCATGAAGGAACGTACGCATGCTCTGGAGGCTTTTTGCACTGCCCAGAAAGACCTCTATCGCCATTAGAGGTAGGACAAGGTGCATCCTGCAACAGTAAAACGAAACAAATAGATGTTAAACGATTTCCTCGGCCGCTGTACAAAATTAATTAGCCAGGAAAGGCGTGACAAGCATGATTATCCTAATCCAAGTGCGGAAGTTGGTAAGCTAGGCATAGGCAGTTGGATCTTGGATCTAACTGATACCACCCCAGCCCAGACGGACAAGATGAACAATCATGCGCGAGGGGTAAGAGGACTTAGGAAGAGAATCAAAATCAACCTCAACTTGAGCGATGTTGCCCCCTGGGGAACAAGCGTTGTCGCAATGGTAACAAATTAAGTACTACTACTACTCTATACTCTGCCTAATAAAGAAGATAATATGGAAGTAGAGCGAGCGAATCTCGCGCCGGCTGCACCAGGCGGTAGCTAACGCAGAACTGAGCGCCGCGATCTATAACAGGTGACTCGTTCAGAACAGGGCAGTCGACGAGCACAAGGAAGCAGAGGGCAAAATCAACCTCGGAATGAAGAAAAGAAAAAGAAAAAGGTATTCGATCGTCGACAAAAACCCCCGTCCCGGCGGCCGGCCCTCCCTCCCTCCATTCCACGCCGCCGCCGCCGCCGCGAGTCCGTACGCGGGAAACCCTAGGCGGCCCCCGTCCGCGATTGCGGGGGGATTTGGGGGTGGGGAAAAGAGGCGGCATGCGCCAATCAATCAAAGAAATGGAAAAAGGGGGCGATCGTCAGTTCGTCACCTTGGTCCTCGTCGCGGCGTCGGCGCGGCGCGCGGGCAGCGGCGGCGGGACCGAGCGGAACGCGGCGCAGGGGTTCGGCCTCGCCGCCTGCCCCGCCATTGGATTCCTCTCCTCCGTCCTCGCTCCTCACGCTCCCCACACACGCACGCAGGCAGAGAGAGGCAGGGGCAGGCGAGAGTGAATGGACGGGGGTTTTTGGGTTGTTGAGTGGAGGGAGGGGGAGGCGGTTGCGAGCAAATAGGCAAGCCTCTTCCCCTTCCGTGACCCCCTCGCGGTGCCCGTTTCGGGCAAGCTCCCCTACCCAACCCGGGCGGCCTCCCCGGCGAGACACTGACGGGACGGCCCCGCGCGTGTGGGCCCGCGGTGTCATGCAGCGAGGATGCTGTGCTCCGCGGTGCGTGTGGCGAGGGCCGCGCTCGCGGTTCGAGGGCCGGGGACCTGGGTGGACTGGCTGGCAGCTGCCACTTTTGACGGGGCGCATCCGGTGCTACGCGTGGGCGATCGGACGGCTGGCGGGTGAGCCTGCGTGCGACAAGCCCTTGCTGCGCCCAGGTACGCATTGCGCCGGCCGAGTCGCGTATGGTCGCTGACGCGTGGGGTCGTGTTTCGACGGGGCCGGGGTGTCATGGGTAGCGAGGTGTGATTTCATTGGTGTTGAGTGCGGAGGCGTCGGCTTTTGCCCGGTGGATTTTGCCGGTGACCGAAGCCTGTAGACGGTACGCTGCGCTTTGGGTTTGGGCCAATCGGATGCCGGAACGGGAGGATCGTTCCTTCCTTCGTTGATTCCCACAGTCGTGTGTGTGGACGCACCGCTGCATGCATTGCGTGGATAAAGACAAGGTTGGTTGGATGCACACAGTACACACTGGTTGAGTAGCTCATTGACTGACCACACTAATGGAGACGTAGTTACCCTGCTTTTAGTGCCGAGCACCTAACTACCTCTTTCCTCAGCGTGTACGTAGGCGAAAAAAATGTGGATTGATTTTATTTAAATCTTTCTAACAATACTCTCGTACTCCTAGTTTATCTTTTCTTCCTTTTTGGACGCGGATACGGCGTGACGGAGCCCCCCTGTCCCCGTAGCCCTATGAAATGGACATGTTTGATTGTGCTTCCACGTGAGTACACGGTAATATGCAAGTTGTCACACGTTGAGATTCACTCTCTAACAAGCGCAAGCTGGAGCCATAACGTGCAAGATGTCACGCGTCGGGATTCACTATCCAACGAGCACAAGCTGGAGCCATAACGTGCAAGATGTCACGCATCGGGATTCACTCGCCAACGAGTGCAGGCTGGAGCCATGATGTGCAAGTTGTCACGCGTCACACGTCTGGAATCACTCTCCAGCGAGCGCAAGCTGGAGCCATAACGTTGCAAACTGTCACGCATCGGGATTCACTCCCCACCGAGCACAAGCTGGAGCCATAACGTTGGTGGAGCTTCGGGGGGCCCACGAGGCAGGGGGGCGCGCCCTAGGGGGTGGGCGCGCCCCCCACCCTGTGGACAGCTCTCGTATCTTCTGACGTGGAGTCCAAGTCCATCAGGTGGGTTTCCTTCCAAAAATAACTTCTCCAGTTGATTTCGTTCCGTTTTGACTCCGTCTGATATTCTTTTTCCTCGAAACACTGAAATAGGCATAAAACAGCAAATCTAGGCTAGGCCTCAGGTTAATAGGTTAGTCCCAAAAATAATATAAAAGTGGATAATAAAGCCCAATATTGCCTAAAACAGTAGATAATATAGCATGGAGCAATCAAAAATTATAGATACGTTGGAGACGTATCAAGCATCCCCAAGCTTAATTCTTGCTCGTTCTCGAGTAGGTAAATGATAAAAAGAGAATTTTTGATGCGGAGTGATACTTTGGCATAATTTCAATGTAAATCTTCTTAATCGTGGTATGAATATTCAGATCTGAAAGATTCAAGACAAAAGTTCATATTGACATAAAAATAATAATACTTCAAGCATACTAACTAAGCAATTATGTCTTCTCAAAATAGCATGGCAAAAGAAAGTTCATCCCTACAAAATCATATAGTTAGGATATGCTTCATTTTCGTCACACAAAGATGTTCCCAACTTCTATACCCCCGATGACAAGCCAAACAATTGTTTCATACTTAAATAATCTCAAACTTTTTCAACCTTCACGCAATACATGAGCGTGAGCCATGGATATAGCACTATGGGTGGAATAGAATATGATGATGGGGATTGAGTGGAGAAGACAAAAAGGAGAAAGTCTCACATTGACGAGGATAATCAACAGGCTATGGAGATGCCCATCAATTGATGTCAACATGACGAGTAGGGATTGCCATGCAACGGATGCACTAGAGCTATGAATGCTCAATAAAAGAAAACTAGTGGGTGTGCATCCAACTCGCTTGCTCATGAAGACCTAGGGCATTTGAGGAAGCCCATCGTAGGAATATACAAGCCAAGTTCTATAATGAAAAATTCCCACTAGTATGAAAAAGACAACTTATGAGACTCACTATATGAAAAATATGGTGCTACTTTGAAGCACAATATATGAGACTCACTACATGAAGAACGAGGTGCTACTTTGAAGCACAAGTGTGGAAAAGGAGATAGTAGCATTGCCCTTTTTATTTATTTTATTTTTTTGGGCATTTTTTTTCTTTTGGCCTTTCTCTTTTCTTTTCTTTTTTCTTTTTTTGGTTTGGGCAATGCTCTAATAATGATGATCATCACACTTCTATTGATTACAGCATAAGGATTACAACTCGAAACTTAGAACAAGATATGACTCTATATGAATGCCTCCGGCGGTGTACCGGGATGGTGCAATGAATCAAGAGTGACATGTATGAAAAATAATGCATGGTGGCTTTGCCACAAATACGATGTCAACTACATGATCATGCAATGGCAATAAGACAAAAGTAATGTATGTCATGATGATGATGATGGAAGTTGCACGGCAATATATCTCGGAATGGCTATGGAAATGCCATGATAGGTAGGTATGGTGGCTGTTTTGAGGAAGATATAAGGAGGTTTATGTGTGATAGAGCGTATCATATCACGGGGTTTGGATGCACCGCGCGAAGTTTGCACCGACTCTCAAGGTGAGAAAGGGCAATGCACGGTACCGAAGAGGCTAGCAAACGTGGAAAGGTAAAAGTGCGTATAATCCATGGACTCAACATTAGTCAAAAAAACTCATATACTTAATGCAAAAATTTAGAAGTCATCAAAAACCAAGTACTACGTGCATGCTCCTAGGGGGGTAGATTGGTAGGAAAAGACCATCGCTCGTCCCCGACCGCCACTCATAAGGATGCACAAGCCAGATACACTTCATGTTTCAAATTTGTTACACAACTTTAACCATACGTGCATGCTATGAGACTTGCTAACTTCAACACAAGCATTCTTTAAATTCATAATCACCCAACTAGCATGACTTTAATATCACTACCTCCATATCTCAAAACAATTATCAAGCATCAAACTTTTCTTAGTATTCAACACACTCATAAGAATTCTTACATATCTTTTATGCTTAGCATATTAGGATTATTTAAGCAAATTACCATGCTATTTAAGACTCTCAAAATAATATAAGTGAAGCATGAGAGTTCATATATTTCTTCAAAATAAAACAACCACCATGCTCTAAAAGATATAAGTGAAGTACTAGAGCAATAACAAAAACTACTCCGAAAGATATAAGTGAAGATCAATGAGTAGTCGAATAATTATGCAACTATGTGAAGACTCTCCTATTTAATAATTCCAGATCTTGATACTTAATTCAAACAGCAAGCAAAGCTAAAAAAACTACATTACAAGGATAGCACAACTCATGTGAAGAAACAAAAACTTAGGCTCAACCGATACTAACCGATAGTTGTTGAAGAAGAAAGGTGGGATGCCTACCGGGGCATCCCCAAGCTTAGATGCTTGAGACTTCTTGAAATATTATCTTGGGGTGCCTTGGGAATCCCCAAGCTTGAATTTTTGTGTCTCCTTAATTCATCTCATATCATGGTTTCTCTTTTTATCAAAAGCTTCATCCACAACAAACTCAACAAGAACTCGTGAGATAGGTTAGTATAAACCAATGCAAAACCCTATCATTTTCTACTATAACAAATCACTAAAATTATTATTCAACATTTAATACTAAATGCCTCTGCATATTTAATACTCCTATCCTCAAATAGAATCATTAAACAAGCAAACATATGCAAACAATGCAACCATAACAGCAATCTACCAAAACAGTACAGTCTGTAAAGAATGCAAGAGTATCAATACTTCCCTGACTCCAAAAATTATGAACTAAAATGCCCACTGTAATAAATTTATCAGAGCTTAATATGCAAAAAGATTCGACGTTATACCATTCTCTGACTTTTCTAGGGAATTTTTGCAACAGCGGTAAACTTTCTGTTTTCAAACAGCAACATGTATACAAGCAAAATAAGCATGGCAAAGGCTATCCTTGACTTTTTTATTGAAACTAAAGATGCAAAACATTATTCTAACTAACAACAAGAAAAAACTAACAAAATAAAATGACCCTCCAAGCAAAAAACATATTATGTGGTGAATAAAAATATAGCTTCAAGTAAAGTTACCGATGAACGAAGACGAAAGATGGGATGCCTTCCGGGGCATCCCCAAGCTTAGGCTCTTGGTTGTCCTTCAATATTACCTTGGGGTGCCTTGGGCATCCCCAAGCTTAGGCTCTTGCCACTCCTTATTCCATAGTCCATTGAATCTTTACCCAAAACTTGAAAACTTCAACCACACAAAACTCAAAACAAAACTCGTAAGCTCCGTTAGTATAAGAAAATAAAACCACCACTTATGTACTGTAATGAACTCATTCTTTATTCATATTTGTGTAATATCTACTGTATTATAACTTCTCTATGGTTCATACCACTTAATACTAGCCATAGATTCATCAAAATAAGCAAATAACACAATGAAAACAGAATCTATCAAAAACAGAACAGTCTGTAGTAATCTGTATCAAACGTATACTTATGGAACTCAAAAAATTCTGAAATAAATTGCTGGACCTGAGTAATTTGTCTATTAATCATATG